GTGAAATGCAAATAAGGATTCAAACCTAGGAGCCCTGCATGCCCTAAACTGACTGGGCCTTGGCAGGGAGTACAGTGAGGTCCCGGGGCACAGATTTGGTTATGAGCCCCCGTGAGCTGTTTGCTGTATGTCCAGTGACTGCAGACTGCCTGGGCCAAGCCTGACTCAGCAGCCACATCCAGCCCTGGAATCTGCTCCACACATATGTCACCATCAAGGCAAGTGGCTCTGGGCAGTTGTTCCCCCGCGAGGGGTCAGAAACCCAGTGTGTCAGCCGCAGAACCACAGCCTGAGGCCCAGACTCAGCCAGGGACCCAGAAGGCTCAGGCACTCAGCTCAGCCCAGCAGAGAATTCCCAGCTGTGTTCCCTCTCTCCCTGTGAAGATTAGTCACCTCCCCTTGCCAGCATCCCAAAATCTAAAAAGAAGCTGTACAGCAACAATTAAGACATTAAGTGCTCAATACAGAATCTAGAATAACGGGAACCTTCCGATTGTATCAGAATACATGGCACCTGCCTTACTTGCCAGTTCTGTGCATCAGTAGCACAGCACATGCACACTGCTGTGAGGCTCACTTGCAGGCCAGAGGTGTGTCTGTCTCAGACCAGCAGGGACCAGCTCCTGAGGTCACAGTCAATTGCAATGTTCCGACCAGAGGAGGGAAGAAAGGGGACGCATCCCCTGGAGGACAAAAACCTGCTTGGCGTCTGACTTCCTGCTCTACCTCTCTGGTTGCACCTCCTCTCGTCCCTGTGAAAGACCTTCCGTGTACCTGAGTCTCCCGAGGCAGAGCTTGAGGACTACGGCCCCCTCTTCCAGAAGGACAGCTCTTGAATAAACCAGATTTTCTTCCTGCCAACTCCCTTCTCCTAAGTATTGGCTTTCAAGAGGTGAGCAGTGAACCTCAATCTGTTACCAAGGCTTCAGGTTCCAGGGAACAGGAGCCTCGGGCCAGACGACTCCTCAGACCAGATTAAGACCCCTCGGATGGGCACAGCCCAGGGTATGGGCGCTCTGCAAGGGGCACCTTTCCCAGTGGCACCCTGAGAGTGGTTGTGGAATAAATTCTCTGCTGCTCCCCTCAGGAGGGGCTGACTGGTGGCCCAGGACAGAGGTAACAACAGCGCTCAGTGTGCCAGGCTCAGCACTCAGAGCTTATAGCCTAGGGGTTCCCTTTCCTCTCTCAAGACACTGTCACCAGCCTCGCTAGCAAAGTGATAAGGAAGCACATGGTCGTTCAAGTGAGGATGGTAATCACTCACTGAGGTGGAGGTGAGACCACTGGCCTGGGCCAGCTGGGCTGGAGTCTGCGTGTCACTGTCTCCTCCAGATGCGTGCTCTCCCGGCTAATCCCCAGGGGTCTCACTTAGCCCCTAGAGGTTTCCGTGTCTTCATCTCCATTTTATGAGGCTTAGAGGAAGCAAGCCACTGGCTCCAGGTACTTATCAAGGACTCAGCCCAGGGGTACCTCCGCCACACCACTGGGACAAGACTCTGAGCGAGGCTTCCAGGGGATCCTCGAGGCCACATGTTTTGCTGAGTGCCCATGTATGACCACCACTCCAGGCGTAGCCCTACTGGTCTCTGCACCTACAGGCACGGAAACTGAGGCCCAGAGAAACTGTGACCTTTGGCACCAGGACACAAGGCTGGAAGACCCAGGGAGGGGGGGAAAAAACAAAGAAAAAAGCCCGAAAAAAAGGAAGGGGTCTGAGAGGTAGCAGAGGCGACTTTATAGCTCTTCGTAGCTCGTTCTGCAGGTGAAGTGCCCCTGAGCCAGGCGAGCCCTCAGCCACAGGCTCACTGACCTTCTGGGAGGCCGGAGCTGTGCCCACTGTGACACTCAGCCCCTTGCCCAGGGCACCTCCCAGGAACACAAGGGGCCTGTCCGCAGTGCCAGAAGTGCTGCCAACTCCTCCAGGGCTGAGGACTTTTCTCTGGCCCCATGCCACTGCTGAGCTCATCACAAACCCCTAAGCTAGTTCCTGCCCAGGAGTTCTATGCCCACCACTCTAAGCCTCCCAAAGCACAGGCTGGCAAGAGGCAAGGTGAGTGTCACTAGTGCCCAGCCCTCAAAGATCTGGGGTCATGGAAAGAGGTCTCCCGAGTTGTGACAAAGTGCACCCATCTGCCCCGCAGGACAGAAGAAGCCAGCCAGATGCTCCTTTGAACACTTTCCCACATCAAACCCTTTAAGGTGTACAACAGCCCCCTGAAGAAGACATGGTCAATAGCCAGCTTACAGCCGAGGAAGCTGAGGCATAGGCCAAAGTCCCCCCAACCGAAAAGTGAGTCCAAGGTTTTCCCTAGGTATGTTCGCCTTGCTGTCTGTCTGGGTCCTGTTGTCCTAGAGCAACTTGGATTTCACAGTGGCAGAGATAGGGCTTCAGACAGGGCACCCGGTGGAGTGCTCAGCTGGGGAGCCCCAGACCCTGCGGTATCTCCTTGTCTCAGGGTCCTTATCTGTAAAGTAGGCACCGCACGCTAATTGCAGAGACCAGTGCCCAGCAGAAGCTGAGCTCACAGAAGAACGGGACTATTCCAGCCAGGCTGAGCTACCAGGGAGCCTTAGAGAAGGGGCCTGGGGGTGTGTCTCAGCCTACTGCATGCCAGGGCTGGCCAGCAGGGGAGCAGGCAGAGTGTACCCCTCTCCCTGTAGGCCAGGCCTAGGTGCAGAATTCTCAAGCCTCTTCCGGACTTCCAGGAGTCCCGGATGGGGCAGGAGGACCTGGGCGTGGCACAGAAAGGCTCAGAGGAGAGCAGGCTGGGAGGCGGGCCCAGCCCGGCAGCCGCTGCCTTGAGAGGCCCTTTTGTGCCAGCCTCGCCCCACCCCCACTTGCCATCTGCCAGGTCCCTGGAGTCTGGTCACCCCCAGCTGCTGGGCATGCTCACATGATGCCCCCATCTGCTGTGAGTCAGAAGGCGGGGTCCACACAGCTACCCCAAGGACAGGGATGTGGGGTCAGCACTAGGGGCTGAGTCTGCACGGTCATGCGTCCCAGTCATCCCTAACTCCTCTTCCTACTGCCTTCTCCATGGCCTTTCTTAAAGCCTTGTCCAGCCCCCTGCCACCTGGAAGCCCACTCTGCATCCCAAGACAGGCACAGCACTGCCACCCCCAGGTGACCTCTTCACAACTGTCCCAGCACAGAAGGCCACCCCTGCAGCACATCTCACCTGCTGTCTTCAAGGCCAGGCTGCCACCTTTCTCTCCTCACCTGTGATGCTACTCTAAAACTCAGTATCAGCCCTGTAGCTGGCACAGCACAGCACAGCACGCTTGCTCTCTGCTCCTGTTGGCCACCTGCCGGACCTGGCCCCAGCCACCACACCTGAGTCCTCCCCTGCAGAGCAGGCAGGGACTGCCAGCCTAGCACCAATTCCCCTCCAGAGACCATGCCTGGCCTCCAATGTCACATCGCCCAGTGCCTGCAAGCTCTTGCCATTCCCCAAGCCATTTGCCCAAATGCCCCCTGACCAAGCTCCTAGATACATGGAAGCCTGAGCCCCACTCACTGTTCTCAGGGCACAGCCCCAGGTCCTCCGCGAGGTCAGAGGCTCTCCCACTCCCAGCAGCGATCAGGCAGCTTATCTCCTTGCTCAATCTCACTGACTTGTTTGTGTCCCTCTCAAGGTGAGGGTGTCAGCCTGGTGGCCTGGCCCCTGCCCAGGGCAGTAAGGTCACAGCACGATGCAAGCTGCACACATAGCCTGTCACTCATCGACCACACCTAGAGTCAGGTTCTGCTCCCCTGGACACCCTCAGAGCAGAGCTCTAGGCCCAGGAGGCTGGGCAGCGGTGACCACCACTGCACACGCTGATGTCCCCCTGGGATAACTGAGGCCCAAAGTAGAGATCAGACAAGTGGTGCTTTGGCCAAGACGGGGCTTTATCTCAGGCCCCTGGGGTCCCTGCAGCAAAGGGATGTCAGGGCTGACCAAAAGTTTCACTCCAGGGCAAGACAGGAAGAATCCACAGACCTCCTATCCTGGGTCAGGGGGGCCACAGCACTCTATGGCTCCCACTGACCATAGCTACTGCTTCTTCACTGTCTCTGATACCAGGAAACCAAGTCTGTGATGCCAGGGGCCTGCAGGGAGGGTCAGGGGTTGGACCACCCCAAAATTCCAGTGGATCTCATGCCTGCTTTATAGCTATGCTTCAGGCAGTATGGTACACACAGTAGGTGCTCAATAAATGTTCATATAAATGACTTTCACTACCATCTGAAGGAAGCATAAAAGTCACCCAGCCCACCCCACCTACTCCAGGCCACAGCTGCTCCAGTGGGGACAAGGGGATGAGAGAGGCCCATCTCAACTCATCCCAATCCACCATCAGTAAAATGAGGCCCCTAAGCCAGCACCACCCAAAGGAGGCTGGTGGGGCACGGGAAGACGGGAATCTTTGCTCTGCGACTGTGGAACAGGGAGCAAAGCCATCAGTCACGAGTGGATGGCACCATGCCTGGTTAATGAATCCTCGGCCCAGCTTCCCCATCCATGTCCTCTGGCTCCCAGGATTCTCACACCCTGGGTGCCTCCTGGTCAGACCTTGCTGCCAGGTGACAAAGGCCTGGACTGCCCTGGCTTACCGAAGGAAACCCAGATGTGGCCCCCAAGACAGCCACATGGGAAATGGACCCGAGGGTCCCCTACCCTGCCTCTACAGCACCTTTTCTATCTGTGCAACAGGACTTGCGATTTCAAGGGCCCAGGGACCGAGCACTCTGAGCTACCAAAGGCGCGGTGGCCCTAAAAGGCTTCCCTCCCCCTGGGCTCCCTCCCCTGCGAGGCACCACCGTAGTCATGCACCCTCTACTCTACAGACCCTTCCACAGCTGCATTCAACAGGGGTCTCACCCAGTAAGATACCAAGGCCCCCCACTCCCTCTTCCCAGTGCCTCCCCCACCCTCTGCATGAGCAGACAGGAGCATACATGTACAAACACACATGCTCTAGGGCACACGCACAAATACACACACTACTCCTCCCACCTGGGGTCTGTTGATTCCTTGGCCAGGTATCAGGTGCCAGTTGAGGGTCTTGTGCAGGACCAGGTGCCCCGACCACCCTTCTGGGTCCACTACTGAGGTCCAACCTGCTGTCCTGATCGAGCTGCCTGTAAGCACGCCTGGTGAGTAAGCGTGGGAGGCCCGGGTCCCTCTCCTGCCGCAGAGCGCAGAGCAGGGCAGCAGCCAGTGTGAAAGGAGCCAGGGGAGGGGCTGGCCGTGTTTGTGGGGGACACCCCTCCTGCCCCAGCTGGGCTCCTCCCTCCTTAACCGGCTGGGCTGGGATGACAGGATTGAGTATGTGAGTCATGGATTTCTCAGAGAGAGGGGGGTAGAGCTGAGGCCGTGACCCTGGGGGATGCCCATGACTCAGCGCTGGACAAGTGGGGAATCGCAGCCTCACAGATCACCGTGAAGATATACAGGTACCAGATCAGGGACAGATGTGGACCTGGTGAGGCTGCCTCTTCCCTCCCGATCTGTCAGTCCCCTGGGACTGTTCTCCCTGAAGTTCCCCCAAAGAGGTAGGGTTGCCACGGCAACAGGCCACTTAGATGCTGCCGCCACCCCCACCCCCCCACAACTGGCCCTTCCTGAAGGAGAGTCCAGCCTTCTTGGCAGCAGTCATGAGCCGGTGCTGACCGGAAGGCGCGCCAGGAGGAAGGGGGTGTCGGCAGTCTGGCGGGAGGCCACGCTCAAGTGACCACTGACCTCGAGTCCTTCCGAGCACAGGAGCCCACATCACAGCTCCCCAGACACCCACAGCTTCAACCTGCCAAGACTCAACTTCTAGATCCACAGACCCTGGGGGCCTCTGGAAATGGCCTTCTTTAGTCAATCCGCCCAGCCAAAGGGGAAACCGAGGCCCAAGTGAAAGTCATTCCTAGTGGCTCCAAAAGTTTAGAAAGACGAATATGGAAGTGGGCAATGTCCCCATCCCCTTTCTGGCTGACTTCTATCACTGTTCCCTGCTCTCTCCCCTGGGTGAAGTTCACAGCCTCCCTTGAAACTCTGGAGAATCCTGTGCCAGTGGAGTAGGGGGTGCCCATGTGCTGCTGCCTCTCAGAGTGGATGACTCCCAGGTCCTAAGTGCTCAGAGGATTTCTCAACATAATGAGGGTGAGTGGTGACAACAGCAAGTGATGACAACAGCGATAATAACAGTAATAAGAGCCGTGATTGCATTTGCTGACCCTGTACTGTGTCCAGCCTCTTCTCTGACGTCATCCCTGTAAGAACCTACCTGAGCCCTTAACAAATATCCCCTGGGAAGGTAGAGATGAAGAAGGCAGAGAAATGAAGCTCAGAGAAGAGAAGGACTTGCCCAAGGTCACCCAGCTGGGAGGCGGAAGGTTCTCCTAAGCATACATAAATCCAGCCTCAAGATGTGCAGTGCTCAGGAACTGAAGATCGCGTTTTTCCTCATCTCCCCCGGGGTCTGCATTCTAGAAGAAAGGCTTGGTGGAGCTGCCCATGGAACATGCTGGCTGCACCAGTGGCCACTTTCCAGGCAGCCTAGGAGGCCAGATCTGCTGAAGGTGAGCTATGCCCCTCACCTGCCTGGGCCAAATCAAGTTGCTGGAGCAAGAAGGACTGTACCACACGTGAGGTGCAGTCAGGTCCCAGAGCCAGAGCTCCCTGAGAGACATTCTATGCTTTCCAGAGGGACAGCCTCACTGTCCAGGTGGTGGCAGCGACCCACACGAGGCCATAGAGGGCTCTTGGTCCACATAAGATCTGCTGCTCCCATCTGGGCCACAGTGCGTCCTGTATTGTTTCCAGGCCATGAGGAGTAGGCCACAGTGAAGACACACTAGCCAGCAGGCAGAAGCGAGGTATCTAGGAAGGGATGGGAGTCTCAGACATGCAGGACCCAAGCAGGCTCTGGGCCTCAGTTTCCCCAGTGTTGACCTTTCCAGGCTCTGCCACCTGGTAGCTGAGGCAGCCTCAGCTATGTCCCTCCTGTAGAGTGCTGGCTGGCAGGACTCAGATGGGGAGATGAAGACACAGTGTAATCTAAGAGGGACCCTCTTGGAAACCCAGGGTCTCAGGGTTGCTCAGACCTGCCAAATCCAAGCCTGAGGAGTTCAGTCCTGGTGAACCATGACAAGTCCTGGCCCTGACTCTGGGGTCTCAAAGCAGCCATGGTGGGTGAGGGTGGAGGCCACCTGGGGGCCTGAAGAAGATGGACACAGGGCGGGGGGTGCCCAGAGGTGGGGCCAAGAGCCCCACCTTACACGGAGAGTAGGGACAGAGGGATGATGTCAAAACTTGCCCTAAGTATGGGAGGCAGGCTGAGGGGGCAGGCATGGGAGGAAGGGGAGACTGCCTTGGGGGGCTATGACGTGGAGTGGCCTGCAGCATGTGGAGAAACATGTGTCGCCCTGCTTCCAACAGCCAGCTGGAGACACTTGGAGGGCAGCAAGAGGCTCTACTGGCTCAGAGAAGATCTATGACTGGCCAGTGTCACAGCAGATAGGCGGCGTAGGGAGCACAGAAAGCTGAAGATGTCCCTTTAATTTAGGGACAGGGGAGAGGATGCCATGCTGCTATGTGGTGGGGACCCAGATTCTGGGCTCAGACAACTGGTTTCCGCTCCAGGCTCTGCCACCCAGGCGATGTGAGCAAGCATCTCTACCAGCTCATCCTGCATGGTCAGGTGAGGGCATGGATAGCACCACCTATTGGGCACATGAATGAGACCACACACATAGGCCTGGGACAAAATACACACCCTGGTGGCATTGCTAGGGCATTGCCATTCAGACCAGCCCAGGTGACAGAGTGATGGTGCTGTGGAGACGGAGGTAGATCTCAGGAATGCATGGATCCCAGGACAGGGATAGGAGGACTGCTGCCTCCTGTGGCTGCGTGTGGGCCAGGCCTGGGCACAGAGGGGCACATGGGGCCTCAGGCACATCAGCTCTGGGTCCTCTCTCACCCCTTACCCGAGAGTGGCATGTGACATCAGCCAGCCTCACAAACAGCAAAGAGCTGTGCCTGCCTATGCAGAAGGTGGCAACCACTGCCTGCCCTGAGGCGGGCTATTACGGCAAGGGGTGCTCAAGTCCAACTTTTGCATCTTCAAACCCTTGAGCAGCGTGCCTGCACACAGTAGGCACACAGCAGCAGCTAATGCCGTCATTATGGACATCAAGGCAGCGTAAGGGCCAAAGGCCCATCCCTCTGGGGTGGCAGAGCCCTCTCCTATGAAGCACCCTGGACAAAACAGGGCTGCTCAGGCCACGCAGCAGAGCCGCAGACTGAGCCCAGAGGAATACTCTTCCGAAGTCAGCAGCCCGTGAGCCCGAGGCAGGTTTCACAGGCAATACTCCCAGCCACCTACCAGCTCATTCCCGTGGGAAAGCCTCCTGCCCACAAGCGTGGGGGCAGCACAGCCCCGTGATAACGCCACCATCTCCGTCACTCCTGCCCCAGGGCCCAGCAGGGACAGCAGTGCCCATGTGACTCAGCCAGCCTCACAAAGGGAGCTGTGTGCCCTGTGCCTGGGCCTGCCTCCCCCACCAGAGCCCAGCTCCCCACAGAGAAGAGCAGGGAGCCCGAAACAGCTACCTTTCTGGGCCTGGCTGGTGCGGACTCAAGCCCAGGCTTGGCATGTGAGAAGCTGATGCCAATTCCAGCAGTGGAATGGAACGCTTGGCAGCAGGGAGGTGAGGTGGCTTGGGTCCGCTCTGGTGTCTGAGACCTTTTTTGGAGCTCTAAGATCTCTCTTCCTCCCAGTGGCTCCCTGGGGGTGGGGCCAGAAGGTACCCCACCCACCTCCCACCTGACTCCAGGTTTCAGAGAGGATGCTTTGCCTGATGCCTACATCCTAGGAGGACCCCTGTGTCCAAGCCTGGCTGCAGCTCTCTCCACCTCTTCCCTGAGAGTTCCAGACTCAGCACATGGGTCCCTATCTGTGACTTCTCTGCCACAGCTCTACTAAGGAGGCTTTACCCCACTGCTCAGAGAAGACTGAAAGAGGGAGGCCAGTCGGGGGTCACACAGGATTGGAGCCAGGATCTGATTTTAAGGCCTGTTTCCTCCCCCAGTACCCTCTTCTGGTTCAATGGCATCTTGGCCACAGGCCCGTAAGAAGTGGCCTTGGACCTGGCGCAGTCTTCCTCCCCCATAGTCTCCTCTTTCCTGCCCTGTGGGAAGGGCCCAGTGCAAATGCAGCTTTAGACAGGTTCAGGCTGGCTGGGCCTCCGAGGGCAGCCCCCGAGGACCTCCCAGGAGGTGAGCATGCCTGGGTGCCCAGCTGCCCCAGACAGAGGCAGACGGGGGCATGGTCTATCTCTTCCTAGGCATGATGGAATGTCTGACCTGCAGCCTAACTCCCCAAGGTACTTGGCAGGAGGGCTGGCTCCAGCCAGAACTATTCTGGAAGGTCACTGGGCAGGCCAAAGCCCCCTGAACCTAACCTAACAAGGCCTCTCCAGCCCAAGAGCATGGCTGCCAGCCTGGGACCCCTCACACTATCAGGGTAGGGTGTCCAGAAACCTAGGCTCCTCCAGGGAGACTACACCAGGGGATCAGGGCCAGTTGATGGGGCCACCTTCTGTGCCTCTGGAGCCCACAGGGCAGCCCCTTTAGAGGTGGGACTCTAAGGACCCAGCCAGTGCCCTGCTCAGAGAGTCCTGGTCTGGGAAGCTCCTGGGACTGGGGGCTCCAAACCCCTCTTCACACACTTGGATTCCTCCTGGCATTGTCCCAAAGTCCCAAATAGCCCACTCTGGTGGCTCAAATGGTCCTGACTGATTTCCATCCCTCAGTGTTCTTGTGTGCACAGCAGGAACACAGTCTAAAGCCAGGGCCTTGAAATATGCAAGAGCTCACTGCCACCCTGCCATCTTGGGGTTCTGTATCCTCCACCCCACTGGGTCCTCCTTTAAAGCACAAGTGTCCCATGCATGGAAGCAGAGGCAACTGACTCCCCTGTAGGAGCCCTCCTCCTGGGCAAGAGGGCCTAACACTGGAGTCACCAGCATCTCCACCCAGATCACCCCAGCTGCTGCTGGACAGTTGGGTCTCTTCTATTAGGGGCTGGCAAGGACCTGGCCTGGAAGGTTTGAGTGGCAGCTGCTCCACACCTGCCCTAGGCCAGATGCCTCTGATCAGTCAGTGAAGCATCGTTGCACCTGTGCCGTGACACACATGAGGCCAAGAGTGGCTTAGTGACCACCCACAGATGGACCCGCGGTCTGCAAATATGACAGGACTTGCTCCATTTGTGTGTGTGTGTGTGTGTGTGTGTGTGTGTGTGTGTGTGTGTATGCGCATGCACACCGGTTTGAAGTTTTGTTTGTGTGGTACTGGGGATTGACCCACCCTCTTGAAGCTAAACAAATACTCTGTCACTGAGCCACACCCCTAGCCCTTTTACCCTTATTTTTGAGACAGAGGCTTGTTTAATTGCCCAGGCTGGCTTTAAACTTGCAATCCTGTTGCCTTAGTC